CACCACCACCACCAAACCTGCATTTCTTAGCTTCATTTTTGTTCACACTCACCATCCATTTTTCTTTTTAAAGAAATGTTTTTTCCCTCCATAGCAAAACTTAGTAAAATGTTTTGATGTTCTTTTTTATTGGTGACATTCAGATAGAAGAGACTCAAAGAACTTCCAGAAGTTTGGATATGACAAACTTGAAGAAGGACAATGGAAGAATACAAACAATCTTTCTCTTTTAAAAACAAAAGAGAGGGACACAGAAAGCAAACTGCTAATCTGAAAGGGTGATCATTTGGATTGGAAACATCTGGAGAAGAATGAGCAATATGAAAACTCCTGGCCCCATTTCAGAATGGGAGGCCCTCACCTGCAATTTCCCTAAAAAAAGGGGGGAGGGAGAAGAAAACTCCCTCTGCAATTTCTGCCTATTTGGTTTCATGGGGTGCAGATTTTAAAGGTAAAGTAGGAATATCCCATGCCAAAGCACCAGGTTTAATCGCCAAAATAGAAAATCCAAGAGAATTGCTGGCTGTGTTGTGATAGATTTACACCTGGTTTATTTTTTCCCCCTCTGCTTTGCATGTTGTTACAGAACTAACCCATGAAAGATAAACTAGTGTTTAAACTGATTTCCTTTTTTTTTGAAAAAACAAAACCCTAACAATTCTAACTTTAAAAAGTACTTTAAACAAAATCACTGAGTTGGCAATTACAGCAAGAATAGAATAATTCTTATTAACAAGAGAAGTCCCGTTGAAAGTAAGTTAAAAGCCCCTTTGAAAGTAAGTAAGAAGTCCCATTGAAAGCACTCAATGTAGGAGAGGAGAAGGAGAGAGGAAGGGGAAGTAGAGAAGAGGCTGACAGAGGGAAGAAAGAAAGTAGGGAGGAGGAGAGAGGGAGAAAAAAAGCGATGGAGTAGGGTATAAATATGGTGGATGGAGAGCAGAAGAGCCGATGATAGTCTTTGGGGGGGTTGATGGTAAGATGAATTGACATAACATTGAATAATATAAAATAGTGTTGGTTATGTAATGGTTGTATGTGCGGTTCTTTGTATGGAAATTTAAAAAAATAAAAACTAAAAAAAAATAAAGTATACATTATGATAAACCATGGTTTCTTGATTAAACAGCGGCTGACTTTATCCATCACTTTACGACCTGGATTGCAGCAAGTCAGATCACATGAACTGTGTTATGTTGTAGCTTAAAATGTTCTCTCTAAAGAAGCCCACCAACATTTGTCTCCTCTGCTCACAGTACAGAGAAATCTACCAATTTTTCTCCAGTCTGCGTCCTTGACAGGCTGACTCAATCCGTCATTGACTTAGAAATGGGTGGTTGTTATCCTTTCACTAAGGCAACTGTCTTTATTTGGTTTTGCACATCCATTTTCCACGCTGTCATTGGTTTTCTTGCCCTTCCTAAAAATGAGAAAAGTTAAAGACAGTTAGATTTCATTATACATAGTACAGGTAGTCCTCGGCTTATAACGGTTCATTTAGTGACCGTTCAAAGTTACAACGGTACTGAAAAAAGTGACTTGCGACCACTTCCCACACAACCATTGTAGCATCCCCCTGGCCACGTGTTCAAAATTCAGAAGCATGGCCATTGACTCACATTTATGACAGTTGCAGTATCCTGGGGGGGGGGTCACACGATCCCCTCTTGCCACTTCCTGACAAGCAAAGTCAATGGGGAAGCTGGATTCATTTAACAATTGCCTTGTTAATTTAACTCCTGCAGTGATTCACTTAACAACCGTGGCAAGAAAAGTCATAAAATGGACCAAAACCCGCTTAATAAATGCCTCACCCAGCAACAGAAATTCTGAACCCAATTATGGTCATAAGACGAGGGCAACCCACACAATGGGAAAGGTGTATACATAATCCACAATATTCTGCTCAAAATAATGTTACGGGATTTAAATACTTTAACCTGGGCTTCCTAAAAACTTTTAACAAGCAATCCTCAACTTCCCACCATTTATTTAACGACTGTTTGAAGTCCCAACAGGACTGAAAAAAGTGAGCAACAACCACTCCTCACACAACTGTGATGGTAACCCTAAAGCCACGTAATCAAAATGTACACACTTCGCAAAGCCAGCATTACAATTGTTGCCGCTTCCATGTTTTATGTAATTTACATTTTGCCGTATTTTTTTTCAGCTGGCTTCCAACAAGCAAAGTCAATGGAGGAAAGTGGATTCCGTTAATGACCAGAAGATTCATTTAACAACTGTGGCAAAAAGGTCATAACTTTGGGTGCAATTCACTTAAGAAGTACCTTACTTAGCGGCAGAAATTCTGAACCCATTCTAGTCATATGCCAAGGGGCTACGTGCTCATCATATGTAAACCCACTGCTAATTTTTAAGGCGCAACTTGTATCCATCGCCAGCTTGCAGTTCGCCTGAAAGCTAAATGTGTAAATTTCTCCCCGAAAAATAGGAAGATGCACCAGCTTTTTCTCTGATGCTGCAATCATCACGTGTGTGGTGTCGATTCAGACTTTGTTGTGACCCTGTACTGAAGGTGCAGAGTTTACACAGTGACCGTTTTTGACTGACATTATGATGAAAGCATCAATGCCGCGGACACCACTGGATGCAAAATTGGTGTGACCGAATTGAGTCGCTTAATCCCTGCGTGCATTGTGAGAGCCGAGGTGGCGCAGTGGGTAGAGTGCAGTACTGCAGGCCACTTCAGCTGACTGCTAGTTCAGCAGTTCAGCGGTTCAAATCTCACCGGCTC